ATTAAACAGTCCATGGGGACCCATATCCCCCTGAGAGATGGAGGGTGTCTGGAGAGGGACATCAACGATAACAATTTTCTTTTGGGGGTTTCTTTCAGGATCACATCACATGAGCCTTTTCAGAGGAATTATTTTTCCTAAACCCAGGAAAGCCTAAATATAAGGGCACTCAGAGCATTTTTTTTTTTTTTTTTTTTTTTTTTTTTTGCTCTTTGCAAAAAAAGATATAACTAGGGAATACTATTGTAAGTTCGACTGCAGTTACGGAACATTTCTCCCTATTAGTTTACACTGTAGCTAAACTATTGCATAGAAGATAAGTTATTTTTTTCTCAGATTGTCAGAGTTATTCAGAAGCCTACTGGTGAGGTCTGTGGCATTGGCCTGTGCAGAGGCACTAGCGGTCATTGTGTTTGTCAAACATACCAATTCTTGTACACATCCAAGTTGGATGTGCTCCCCACTTGCCCCATGAAAAGTAGTGGTGTTTCAGGATAAAAGAGACAGGAGAAATCCCTGGAAATCTGGAGGATTTTATTAAGTGCACCTTGACTCAGTTGGACTCCTGTCCAGAAAGATTGAAGAGTGAATAAAGGAGAGGCCCCAGTTTTTATACATTTCATTGATAGAATTGGTGCAAAATGGAACAAAAACAAGATTTTTTTTCCCCTCAGTGATAGTTTCATAGTTTAGCCTTGAGAGCCAAATATCAGGAGCTTCATGATGTCGTAAAACTTTGTCCACAGGAAGACGTCACCAACCTTATCTGTGTCATTCGAGGGCATACAGTTACTCAAAGGTTACAAGATTTCATTTGCAGAAATCTAACTGTCTGCCTTATTGCTCCCAAGAGGAGATCAGCCTTGAAGGAAGGCAGATTCGTGAGAAATCAGGTCATCATAGGTCTCTGTGAGCTAGAAGCGTGCTGTTTATCTTATCTGTAGCAGAGCAAAGATCAGCAATTACACAGAGGGACAGGGCAGAACTTGAGTGGGGAGCTGCAGAAATTAGGAGAGACTGCTTGCAGTGAGGAAAACTGATTTTCTTTTATTCATTTTTTATTGAGTTTATTCGTACATTTTAGGGATACAGTACAGTTACATTCATTATTGGGATCTTGTACCTTTACATGACAGGTCTTGGTTCTCATTTTTTCCCCTTGTCCCTGTGCTCCCTTCACCCCCTCCTCCCCTCCCCGTTTACAAACACTTTATTTCCATTTTCTCATATTATTTTCTTTTCCCTTATTCCCTTTCCCCTACCCTTCCCACTTTCCCTACACCTTTAACCCTTTTCTTTCTATTTCACATTGTTAATTATCTCATTAGGATCTTATGTACTATTATAGTTTTTCACGCCAGAGAAACTATTTGGTATTTACACATGTGACTGATTTATTTCACTTAAGAGTATATCCTCAAAATGTATCCATTTTCCTATGAATGAATCTAGTTTCTCATTCTTTATGGCTGAGTAGTATTCCATTTTATACAAAAACCACATCTTCTTTATCCAGTCTCCAACTGATGGGCAAATGGGCTGTTTCCAAGTTTTAACTATTACAAACTGTGCTGCTATAAACATAGGTGTGCATATATCACTGTGATATGATTCTTTTAATTCTTTTGGAAAGATACCCAGCAGAGGGATGGCTGGGTCAAATGGAATCTCTAGGCCCAGCTCTTTGAGGTATCTCCATATTGATTTCCACAGTGGTTGGACCAGTCTGCACTCCCACCGACAATGGAAAAGGGTTCCTTTCTCCCCACAGCCCCGCCAACATTTGCTATTGTGGGATTTCTTGATAGCAGCCATTCTTTGTGAGGTGAAACTGATTTTCTTTTAAATTCTGCTTTGGTGGGATGTGTGTGATTGAATGAGGCAGAAGTGGCCCTGAAGACTCCCAGAGGAGGCTGCAAAAAAAAAGTTACAATATCCACCACCCTTCCCACTCGGAAGCTCTCTGCTGGCCCCCAGCCACAGCACTAGGAGGAGCCACAGCAAAGGCCACTCCCAGTGTTCTAGCCCATTGCTCCAGCTGAGCTCTCAGCTGACAGCAGCACCCACAGGTGGGCAGGTGTGCAGGGAGCCTGCTGAGGATTTCCACCTCCACTGTCCAAATGCAAAATCATCCAAGATTCCTGCCTGGTTGGCTTTTGGACCCTGCTGTGTGCAAATATCCTTCCTTTTCCTCAATAGGCACATAGGCTTGGCATCTGAGAGAGTTCCTCCGGTGTGGTACCTGCTGACAGCCATTTCCTTGTTCCTGGGAAGCCCTAAAGATTGTAGATGTGTCCCTGAACACTCTGAATTACACCAGTCCCTCCCTCTGACCCGGACCCACTGATGGGAGTTGGGCAGGGGTAGGGCCAGGGTGGCAAGCTTGTCACAGCCCTATAGCCCTGAATCTTGCCTTAACCTAGGTCCCTACTCTGTCTTCTGGACGGGCCCTGTCTGCTTTCTCCTCCAAGCCACACTGGCTCTCTGCTTCCCATCCCCCTGTGTAACAGCTCTTGTCCTGGTCAGTTTCAAGTCCTGAGCCTGGGAGGAAATGATGCACATGCTTTGCCCTGTGCAGAAGGACAGGCCTAGGGTGCAGGTAACTCAGCCTGTGGGTGTCCTGAAGTTAGTCCCAGAAAGTCTGGCTGTCTTGTTTTCCAAGCCACTGATCCCAGTGTGAGAGCCCACCTGAGCTTTGGCCAAGAGAAGATGGTGAGAAACCAGTGCAAGAGCTGGAAGAGGGACTTCGGTGGCACACACAGGTAATCACAGCACTTGGGAGGCTGAGGCAGGAGGAACCATAGTTCAAGGCCACCCTGGGGACTGAGACTACTTAACAAGACCTCGTTTCAAAGTGAAAGCCAGAGTGGGCTGGGGATGTGGACCGGTGCAAAGGCAAATTTGCTGTCAGAGGATGTTCTGTCCTGAGCAAGGCCACGCTCTTCCCTCACTGTCCCAGGAGATGATAAAGCAGAAGTTACAAGAAAATTGGCTTTCCTAGCTGAAAGCAATCTCTCCTAGCAGCTGCCCACTTGGGTTTCACCCCCTTCCCGTGGCTGCTGACCTCTGCCCCTGCCACAGAGTCTCATTAACGGAGTCCTGTGATCGCCTTCTACTCGGGAATCTGCTTTCCTTCAAGGCTGACCCCTGCCCCACTGATAGGATAGTCATACTCGTGTAAATAAAGTTTTACGCCTTCCAAGGAATCATATGCTCTCACAGGGTAGGGATAAAAAGGCAACTATGTCCTGTAAGCAAAGTTATTGATGCCCCATTCTCACAAGATTCACAAGGAACAAAACTGTTGTAGTGTGAGTCGTGACTCACCTGCTTTTCGTTTGCTCCTTAACCTTGCTTTCCCAGCCCCCTCCCCACAGTTTCACATTGCTAGAAATACAACCCCCCTTTTTGATCAAGTGTATAAAAACGGAAACTTTTCTTTGTTCAATGTTTTTCCTTTGTCTAGGAGTCCGTTGAGCCAGCGTGCACCTTGAAACAGAAATAAATCCCCCTAAATCCAGTTTGGACTCTCATGTCTTTTGGAATTCTGCTGCATTTTGAGACAGCTGGGTGCTTCCAACTGAAATGGAAAAAAGATTTTCAAGATTATAAAGAGAAATATATTACAATTTACTGGCAATGAAAACAGCCATCCATAACAAAGGTGAACTATCAAAAACTTTTCCCTAGCCTCAGACATGCCCAGGATCGTGAAGTAGAAAGGAATAAAAAATGTTAAAATGTCATTAGAAACAGCTGTCTAAAATAAGACAAAAAGCCATCTCATCACCACTAAACAAGTCAAGAAATGAATAGAAGTCATTTAAGTGGCCAGTGTAGAAGTAAGTCTAAATGCAGCACATACAAAACAGGAATACAAGGCCCTGCCTGCAAAAATAAAAAATGCCCCATCAGTGACATCTAAACATGAAGCCATCACGATCTTCCCTGATCACAATGTTTAACATGGCTCAAGAAACCAACAGAAGGCACAAGCAGCCAGTAAGCAACGGGTGACAATTTTTGATTACCTAAATGAGTCACAATCCAGAATCCAGTCAAAATGTTTAGAGGTGTCATGAAACAAAAGCAAATTCCTACCTCCTTCCCAGTATCTTGCTGGGGCCTCCAAATGTTATAGGGAAACAGTAATTCCTACCCTGCTTGATTTCAGATAATACAAGTTCCTGTCCTTCACAATCGAAGAATGAGTTCTAGGGGACAACAGAGGTTAAGAGTAGGAAAATTTTATTGAGAGAGCTTCTGAGGAATGGGAGGGAACCTAAAGAGATTGCCACCAAGCCTGCTTCTCTATGAATGTGTTATAGAGTGAAACTGGGGTGGGTACAAAATCACAGGTGAGTACGACATGAATCAAACTATAATAAACTGATAAGACTACGAGTACATCTGCTTAGCTAACAACGGTCTGTTAGAGAAGCAAGTCATACGTAGCAAGGGTACAGGGAAAGAACAAAGGCATTTTGGGGAAGGGAAGGGTCTGGATGCTCTGGTCACCCACGTGGGTAGCCAATGTCTAACTGGGTTTTACTGGACCGGAAGGTGCTAATTACAGTATCATTCCAAGTTACTGCTGATCCCTTAGAGAAGCCTGTAGGCCTGGTCATCACATCTTCACCTTGAGGCCTGGTCTTCTTCACATGCAGTTCCATCCACAATTCTAATGTCTTTATTTTTTTTTTCTGCTGACTTCCTTGACAGTCTCTCTCTGACTGTGCATTAATTTCTACCTAACTTAGCCATTTACGATAGTACCATTTTACGTATGTGCAGACTAAAGGTTACTCAAACTCTGGGTGTGCACAGGAGTTGAAAGGAAAGGGAGTCTTCAGGCTGCGACGGCCCACGTCTCTGCCTCCCTCCAAGTTCCATCTGCAGCCGGCCCCCACAGCTACCTTTCTCTTTCCACACCCACTTCCTTTGTCGTTAGCCTCTCCCCCTTGAATAGCTGCCAAATGTGTTGGTTTATATTTCCTCATAAAGTCCAGCTCCGTGCAGAAACAGTGGAGCTGGTGTGAAAGACAGTGGTGGCCACACAGGTGGATTCATGATGAGTTGCTGCAACATTCCATACCAGGTAAATGTGGAGGTGGCCAGGTCTGGGCAGGCTACAAAGCCAGGAGGAAGCAGCTGTGGGTCTCTGAGGAAGGACGGGGTGGTAGGCTGGTGGTGGCGAAGCCCAAATAGTCCCAAGGAGGGCAGAAATGTCCGAGGAGCTCATCCTGATGCCGATCCTGTTCCATGGCTTCTCATCCATGCAGGACCTCAGTGATCTAAGAATATCAATCAGTGGAACTCAGGCGTTTAACACTTACTGATCTCCCTCAGTTGCCTGCACTATCTTAGGTTCTGGGGAAAGACAGGCCAAGAATTATCTAGAAGGGTGACAGTTTGCATGAAGGGGACAAGAGCAGTGTTCTGGGTAGAGAAAAGCTCACAGGCATGGCACTTAAACCAGCTTTTCCAGAGTTGGTCTCTGGGGTTAAGCCATTCAGTACCTGGGCAACCACAGGCAAGGGACTTTCACTTCTGGGTCTCAGTTTCTACATCTGTTTAACGGGCACGATACCCGTGCCCATGTCCCAAAGTGGGGCGGCTATTGGCGATGTGTCACACCTAGTGTGCCAGACACACCATAAGAGTGGGCGCACTGAGGATTATCAAGAGTCAGGCATCTGAGGTGAAGACTTCCGAGGAGGCACCTGTGCCCTGAGGGGTGAGTTGGAGCCCTCAAAGCAAGAGTTCAGCCTGGCGTCTGTACAGGGGTCGTAGCGGAAGTGGAGTAGGCGTGGGTTTATCCCCATCTTGTGGAGTGCAAGGCGCGACCGTTACCACTTTTTGCTGGCCAGCAGGTGGCAGGAGTTAAACCTGCAAGGGCTTATTATCCCCACTTCATGTCTGGATAAATGGATCATAGGAGAGGTTGAGGCACTTGCCAAGTGTCCCTAGATGGAAAGCTGAAAAGGAAGCTGCCTGGATTTACATCCAGAATAGGGGGCCCATGAGAGAGAGAGAGAGAGAGAGAGAGACAGAGACAGAGACAGAGACAGAGACAACAAGTGTGGGGACGCAGGAGCATGACAGCCTGGTCCCCAACCTTCCCTGGGTCATTGCCAACGAGGTCCCTGGCAGACAGGAAATGAGGGGAGGGCACAGCTGGGCCCGAGAGGGGCAGGAAGCTGGGCTCTGAGTGTTGCTCACTCTGGCAGGGGACCCTCTTGCCTTGAGCTCCTGACACCTCCCAAGGATGTTCATGCCCCTCAGCACCCATTGGACAGTGTTCCCGAGAAGGGACCTACAGGGAGCGGGTGAGAGAAGCTAGGAGGACCCGGCAGCATGCCTGCAGGGACACAGAATCATAATGTGTCCCTGTGGACAGATTACCCGCTCTCTGGCTCCCAGGCAGACAAGAAAATGCAGGAACTCTGCTGGTTTATTATTCTGGTGACTAGTTCCTCTTTGGCTTTAGAAGCCAAGTATTTCAAACCAGAAGGAAAATCCTTCTATGGGCAAGAGAATTGCACAGGACTGGGGCACAGAAATAAAGAGGACTGTGTGGCCCCAAGGTGTGGGCAGCACCCGAGGACCCAGCTGGCCTCACTAGGCAACCTGCTGACTCACATCTTTATCAATACGTATTCAGAGGTTCCAGGAACCTACTCGTGGATGTTTCTGACCTTGTGCAGGTGTGAAAGTGTCATTCAGCCTTCAGGGCTTTGCTTGCATGCTGGAGGTGCTGAGAGGCAGGCGATAGGCTTGGGAACGGGGAAGGAAGGCCCAGAGTTGCTGATGTGGCAACCAAGGTGGACAGGAAGATTCCAGGGCTTATCAATACGTATTCAGAGGTTCCAGGAACCTACTCGTGGATGTTTCTGACCTTGTGCAGGTGTGAAAGTGTCATTCAGCCTTCAGGGCTTTGCTTGCATGCTGGAGGTGCTGAGAGGCAGGCGATAGGCTTGGGAACGGGGAAGGAAGGCCCAGAGTTGCTGATGTGGCAACCAAGGTGGACAGGAAGATTCCAGGGCTGCACTCTCTCAACTTGTCTCGTATTGGAGAACCCCCTTCAGAATGTGTGTGTGTGTGTGTGTGTGTGCCTGCGCACACACAAAACACTCCCACATTGAATTTTCTCGTCTTTTACCAAATCCTA